ATTTTTTTTGGAGTGGTAGGCCTAAAAAGTATGACTGGAATGGGTTCAAGAAAGGATGGGGAAGTAGCAAGAGGAGATCATTGGAACAGATGAGTGTTTCAAAGAGGCTTGCTATAAACAGGTGCAGAAAAACGTAGTAATAGATGAAGGGGAATTTTAGATCAAAGGAAGATTTTGTTAAGGTGCAGGAATAATAGTACACTTGAATGTTGTTGTAAAGTATTTACCAGAGAGGAAAAATGATTACTGTTGGAGAGTAATATCCTTGAAAAAGTGAGAGGATGGGATGTAATCGAGACTGATATTCAGCAGATGTGAATAATTACAGACATAATGATTGCCAAAATACTAACGCTTTCAGCCTGGTTTATAATTTAGTGCTGTCTTGAGCCCCCTGATTGCCCCCACCCCCACCTGGACCACATCTCCTTTTCCTTGGGACTCCCTAGGTCTTCTCATCATCCAGAAACCAAAGGGTAACAGCTGGAACAGGGGGAGGATCCAAAACCAGCTCTGTTGCCATGTTTGTACTTCTGCCATTCTGGTTACTAAGTGTTTTGAATATCACCCAAGGATCCAGTGCACAGTGGAAGTGTTAGTCTTATAGAGGAGAAATAGACAGATGGATTGATAGATTTGGAAAGGGTAAGGTTGAAAGTCCTCTTTTCAATGCTTTTATTTTCTTAGTAGTCTAAGAAACTAAGAGTAAAGAGGGGCAAGGGACCATATAGGTAGGAGAGAAGAAGATGTGCAATTAATGTTTAATGGCATAAGAAATAAATTGGTCTGGGCAATACACAGAATTTATAGTCAGTTAGCCATGGTTGGGATATTGCCATCCAAGTAGGAAAGAGGAAGACAGAGGTAAGGGAAGTGAGAGTATCTTGTAGGGCGTGATTATAAAAATAGGTCATAGACTAGTTAAAACAGAAGTAGGAGTATAGGGGCAAGTGAGAATCAGTACCAAGGCGGTAGGGCAAAGAGATGATAGGTTCTGCTGCTGTTGAAGAATTGTTGGAGTTGGGGTATTAGTAGAAGTGAGCTGGGGAGATAGAAATGGTAAGTGGAGAATGGCTGTTCAAGATTGTTGAAGGAGCACAGTTTTTAGTAATGCCAAATTCTAGTGAATGACCCTGGGAGTTTGGGGCTGAGATGGGGTGGGGTAGAAAAATCACTGGGCATAAGGAGGTTAAGAAAAGAGAGATCAGGTTGAGAGAAGGACTGTCTATGTAGACATTGAAATCACCAAGTTACATGATGATGGACACAATGAGAAAGAAGCTATCATCTTGAAGGAACAAGAAGTTACCCAAGGGTATGTAAATAACTACCATAGGACATGTAGGGAGTCTGAGGGTATGAACTTCAAAGACGCTAGACATATTTAAGAATAGGGGTGCCAGGCACTGTTCTAGGTATTAGGGATCGTAGTGAATAAAATAGATGAAAAATCCCTGCCCTCATGGAATTCACCATCTTGTACCACTTGGCTGCCTCTTGAATGTTCTGGTTTTCCGACTTGACTTCTTATGGCCAAACTCTCCCCATTCCAATCCATGTGTTTTGTTATTCCCAAATTTCCCCTCTTCACGTAGAAAATGTATCCTATAACTCTCCTTTACAATAATCTACTCAATTAGTGGTTTGATATTATCTTATAAATAAATCCTTATTTCTCCCTGTGGCATTTGAGTTGCAATTTAGCTCTGAATTGCTTGTTTGAGATCTGCTTAAAATTAGGGATTGGTACCTCCTCTGGGAAGCCTATCTTTTGATTCTTTTTACTGCAAAATTGACATTTCAGGACATTAAAATACATAAACTAGTTATAGGAATTCACTATACATTCATTTCCTTTTAAGTCATCAAAAGATATTTAGTCATTTCAGTCCTGTGCTGGAAAGTGCTGATCCTGTAACCCCGAGCTCTAATTGCTCAGGTCAGGGGTAGATACAGAGTAAGGGTGGAGGTGGGGAAGGATAGCCTGACTTTTTGGGGGATTTCCAGGTCATCTGGTCCAGCAACAGAAAGGGGCTTCTGGTCACTTTTCATTACTTTTTCTGTTGAAGGTGTCTGATTCCCTAAATAATAGACATGACTTTGTATATATTTATTTGTTGTTTCTCTAGGGCGGAAATGTGGATGTTTTTAAGGAAAACAAAGCAGTGACCCTTTGGCATATCTTATTTACCATATCAGTCAGAGTCTAGGCAGAAAACAAAAGCCACACTCAAAATGGTTTAATTGAAAAGAATATAATGAAGGACTATTACAGAGGTGTGGGTGTGGTTCAAGGAACTAGCAATGGTGGTAAGCCTTTACAACCCTAGGCCTGAAGGGGCACTGGAAGAAAATGGTATTATTAGAGACCCATGAGAGCTGTAGCCATGGAAAAGAAGCTTCAGGCAGGCATTATAATCAGAAGGCCAGGGTATGGCCAAAACTTTGGCCTAGTTCGAGGGGGAGAAGAGTGTAATTCATAAGCTGGTATTTCTCTCCTGCCTTCTTTTGATGTTCTGACAGTGCTTCCCATAGGTCTAACTCAACAGGAAGCACAAGGCAAGGAGGTCCTGGTAATGTATTCATAAATGTCAGCTCCCAGGGCAGAGTATGGCAGAGAAGTGGAGAAAATGGATTTGGAGAGGGAAACCAAAAATATCTATTACAAATATTCTCTACGAACATAAAGTAAAAAAAAAAAAAAAAAAAAAAGCCAGTAGAAGGCAAGGAACTTAAAAATCACCATACAACTATCTTTCTAATATTATCACCTTCTTTTTCAAACATTTAACTTACTGAGCATTCTTTCTGCTTAATACTGGTCAGCAAACTTTTTCTGAAAAGGGTCCAAAAGAAAATATTTCAGATTTTGAAACCTAAGAGGCAAAATTGAAAATATTACGTTGTATTGACATAACCACTTAAAATGTAATCATTTTAGCATATAAAATGCAGTCATTAAAATCCAGTGGGCTTGGGGCTCCTGGGTGATTCAGTCAGTTGAGTGGTAGGACTCTTGATTTCCGTTCAGATCATGGTATCAGGGTGGAGGGATCCAGCCCCACTTCAGGATCCACTCTGGGAGCCTGCTTGAGATTCTCTCTCCCTCTCCCTCTGCCATTCCCCACCCTTCTCTTCTCCCTCTCAAAAAAAAAAAAAAAAAAAAAAATTCCAGTGGCTAGATTTGGCCTGTGAGCCATAGTTGATCACCCTGTGGCCTAGAAAGTCCTAGAAAGTCTTCTCCTAAATTTTTGTTAGCCTACATCTGCCTATTTTTTTAAATGGCCAGTCCAAATAAAACCTCCTCCACGTGGCCTGCCAGACTGAGACTCTTTAAGTTATGAATGAAAGAAAATCAGTTTTTACAAGCTTAAGAGAGTAAAATTACTAGCTTAAATTTGAGAGGATGTTGGAGGTAGATCCCGGAATTCAGGAGCTGCAGGCATCCCAGCTATTCCAGGGATTGTAGTATCAGAACCTGCCCTCTTGAGCGCTCTTTTCTTATCTTTGCTCTTTCTGCAGTTTGGTTTCATTGTTTACTAGTGAGGGCAAAGCTTCCCCATAGAAAACACAAAGTACTTGTCCCTCTTTAGGCAATAATCCCAGGGAAGTATTCTGCTTGACCTGCCTTGGTCACTCACACACCCATCCTTCGACGAACATGTGTGGGTGGTGGTGGGGGTGGTGGGGGTAGGGAGGTTCTATGATTGCACATGCTTGGGAGAAGAGCCCACTGCTGAAGGGAGGGAGAATTCTATTGCCAGAAGATGCAGACAGGATGTCTATTTTTGGGAGATGAAAATGTCACAATTATAGTCCAATATGTGACATGCCATAAGAGAGATCATGTCTGGAATGTCTGAAACACATTTTACCACCCCCCAGTACCTAACATCACATTTGGTAGACAGTCATGCGTTTTTGATGAATGAATGACTCAGTTCCCCCAGCTGGTTGTGAACGCTCTCTTCTCTAAACTGGCCCAGATATCAGCTGTTGTCTAGTTCTACTGTAGGCTGTCTTAGAGGTTTTCCTGTCCATATGTTATCTGTTCCCTAATCCCGGGAGGCAAAGAATGCCTGAGACAGAGCCAGGCAACAGGAAATCTCAGCCCCGGAACCAGAGCACAGAATGCTGTAGACGCCGGTGACAATACCGACTATGTTCTGGGTAACCCATGTGGCCCTTTTGTTGAGGCCGTCAGGACACAAAGGCCCCACCGACAGACGTGACCCTCCGAGGATAGGGAGGCCCGGGGGCGGGGGCACAGCGGGAGCCCCAGCCTCGGGGGCGTCGCACCGCACAAAGGAGACAGCAGGGAGGCGGCCGCGGGCGCCGATCTTCGCTCACCAGCCACTCGCAGTTGCGGTTACAGACCTGCAGCTTCCCTCCCCCTCCCCACCCAGGCCCGCCCGCCTGCCTTTCTGTCTCCTCTCTCCCTCCGTACTGGACGGCCCGGGTCCATTTCCGGGCTCCGGATACTTGGTATCGATCGGGGCCGGGGGCGCGGGAGCAGGTGGCTGCGGCGGGGTAGCTGGACCGCCAGCCGGGGGCGCCGGGACGGGTCTCCCGACGCCTTTGTCGCCAGCCCTTCCGCGGCGGCTGCTCCTCCCCCAGGTCGGCGCGCACTGCCCGCCGGACTTTGCGCCGCGTCGGGCGCTGCTGCTGCTGCGCGCGGGGCCGCGCTCGGGCCCGGCGGCGGCGGGGAAGCGGGCGGCGAGAGGCGGCCGGGACCCCGGCCCAACATGGCTGAAGTCACCATCGACCAGTCCAAGCTGCCCGGAGTCAAGGAAGGTAGGGGCCGGGGCGCGAGGCGCGAGGGGCGTGGGGCCCCTCCCCTCTCCCAGCCTGGCTCTCTCCGGGCGGGGAAGTCGTCCTTTTGGCCCCCGAGGCCCTAGCGCGGGGCCCCCCTGGTGCCCTGGCGCCCTGGTCGGGGACAGAATTGACTTGAGGTTCTACTGTGGTACCTTGGGCGAGTCATTACGTTCTGAGCCCGGTTTCTCCACTGCGAGGAAATGGGGGGAGAGAGGAGAGCACCACCCTCAGCAAGTGGTTGTGCAGATGTTCTAGCGAAGAGCAAAGTGTTGGTGAACGCTCAAAAGCTGGGTAAATCTGACTTATTTGTGTCCTTAAAAATCAAGGCCCAGCCTAGCTGGCTTGAAGGCTAGGAAGTGGGGAGGGGTTGACGTTCAGTTCCTTGTGGAGCCTTTGTTTTGAAACTTGACTCTTTCCCTCCTTCTCGCCACTTTTCCTAGCCCAGCGTCTGGCTGGCTGACTTTCCCACCTCCCTCAAGGTTTAAAAGTTTAGTCTTGGCACTGCCCAGCGTGGGCAGGCTGATGGGAAGCTGCTATAAGCATTTTCTTAGGAAAAGCAGGGGGTAAGGGGGAACAGAGGACTCACTGGTGACCTTGATTTTTAAAGGCTCTTTATACTGATGTCCTGGGAAATTATGGTTGATCAGTACTGGTCTGGTTTAGCTACTGGCAAGTAGCCTTTTGACTTCCCTTCCCTGCTCTTGGTTGACTGCTCCAAGATCGAGCATTTTGTTGTTGTTGTTGTTGTTGAAATTTTGGGTGCTGGATCTCCTTAACCTATAGTTATCTTTGGCTCTTCTTTGGCCCCCGGAAGTGTGGAAATCCCAGAGTGCTATCCAGGCTTGCAGAGGTTGTCTTTGTTGTGAATGTCATTTGTTTCATTTGAACAATGTGGCCTGGGGTGTCTTGGGAATGTGGAATTGAAAATAAGAATTTTTGCTTTCTTGGAACTGCATGTTCCATTGACAACTTGATTTGACTCTGATGGTCTTGTGGGTGTTCAGGCCGACCCCAAAATACCAAGTAAGCTTGACTGCTTTCTTTCCCAGAGTTCGAAACACTAGGGGATAGAGTAACTGGTTTTATGTAGAATTTTTAATGGGGCCAGGCTTGTCCTATTGTTCCTGAAGGGTATTAGAACTTAGACCTGAGATCTTTCAACCTTTCAGTTTCTAGCAAGGCTTTGGTGAAGATTCAGGTATTCACATGTAAATGTAGTTTTCACAGCACTGTCAAGTCTGGTGCCCCAGTGAGAGGAAGGGCAGATCTACACTTTGAAAGTCCTAGTGTGGGGCCCCTGGGTAGCTCCGTCGTTAAGCGTCTGCCTTTGGCTCAGGTCATGATCCCAGGGTCCTGGGATTGAGCCCCACATCGGGCTCCCTGTTTGGCGGGAAGCCTGCTTCTCCCTCTCCCACTCCCCCTGCTTGTGTTCCTTCTCTCGCCTTTTCTCTCTCTCTCTCTCTGTCAAATAAATAAAAATCTTAGAAAAAAGAAAAAAGAAAGTCCTAGTTTCTGAGATTGTCTGGTTGTACCTAGCCTTTTGGATAGGAGTTTTATGGACAGATGTCTGTATGCTGAACGTCCCTAAAGAAAAAGTGACCCTGTGTAGTGTGTAGTGCTTCCTTGGGGGTGGGTGATGAGTAGAGTGAACACTGGAGTTCAAACACAACCTTAACAGTTAAGTATTAATCATGTGGTGCTGTGATTTTACGCAGCCCCTTGTACCTGTCCCTGACCTGGAACAAACTCAAAACTCACTTCCTTTATATGCATATATACGACTCTTAGGTCTTCTGGTTTCTAACCAAGACATGAATGATGAATGATTTATTCTAGTACATTCTCAAGGGGTTCAAAAAAACACTTGCCATCTAAAAATGCAAGATGTTTCTATTCCTAAACTCTGGAATTTTTGCACATTCAAATTGGCTTTCACTTCGCATAATGTGGTGTTTGGCAATCCAGTTTGTGTGATATGGTTAAGTGGGAAGGAAATTTGGTGTGGCTCTTTCATTAAGTTAGAATTAAATACTGATTGATTTTGGAGGTGGTCAGAAATTGTTGAGATCATTGTCTTTGCAAGCGTCTGACTTTTCTGGTTCCAAGATCCTCAAAGGAAATGATGTATTAGGCTAGGAACCTCCTAATGGTGGTGTAGTTTTGATCTGGGAAGTATTCAAGTCTAATAAAGGGTATCTTTCTCTAATATAACTCTTAATTATGGCCCAGTAACTCCCTAACAATGCCTTTGAACCCTAATTTAAAGAGAATAAAGGTGGTGCCCATGTTTGGGTAAAACATACACATTGAGACTGTTCTTAATACTGAAACTCCAACTCAGTTTGTAAAGAAAGTTTAGTGGTAAATTGCTTAATATCCTGGCATAGATTTTTAAACTCTGTTTTTAGAAATATGTCTCCTCCACTTCTCTTTTCAGTCTAAACTTTGGTAGATTGATACACAATTACGATTTGGGGTCATAGGGTGGATTCCAATAGAGATTAAGAATAATGCAGTGGATGTCTGTGGCTTCCTACTGCTTTTTCTTTGGGAGAGGTTGAGGGGCCCTGTGACCTTTGTTGTGAACATGTCAACAGAGGTCATGGGTAACAGCTGACGTCAGGGAATATTTTAATATTTTAAAATTTTCTTTTCTAGGTTAAAATCCACTGCTTGCGTGCTTAGTTTTAAGGTGGTCAAAGATATTCATCATTTGAACAGATCTTTAAAAAAACCAAAGTTACAGCAGTATTTTTACCTTAGGAAATCTCTTAAAATAGGAGATAAAGGGACACATTTGAGTTCATATGTAAGTGAAAGGAATTAAGTCTAGCTAAATGTCAGCACATCATTATTTCTGGTTTAAAAGCACATTTGGAACACATGCATACTTTTTGTGATGGAAATACTGTTGCCAATGTTTAGGAATAGTCCTTTATTTCTTCTGAAACATTTGAGCTTCTACCCAACAAGATTTGAAATAATTCCAGCTATTGTTTTTTAAAGTATAACTCAAATGCATCATGCAATTTGCGAATGTTAGACAAAGGTGTAGTCAGGTTCCAACAGTATTCTGTATGTTTCTTAGTTTAGATCTGAGCTGGGTATACATTTTTCTAAAAATGAATGCTTTTCTTCAGTTGACAGACTTAGGTTTTTGGTCAGTTTTAGCTTCTTTGCTGAATTTTCTTTCTTTCTTCCTTTTTTTTTAAAGATTTTATTCGTTTGAGATACAGAGATAGAGAGAGAGAGAGAGAGAACATGAGAAGGGGGAGAGGGAGAGGGAGAAGCAGGCTCCCGCCTGAGTCAGAAGCCTGATGCGGGGCTCCATCCCAGGACCCTGGAATCATGACCTGAGCCGAAGGCAGACATCCTACCATCTGAGCCACCCAGGTGCCCCCAAGTTTTCTTTCTGACACAATAGTCCAGACCCCTCACTTTCCTTTTTTGCCCTTTCCACTTAGATTCCCATATCACTACTTAATTTGGAGTGGCTCATTTATCATCATAATATTGCCCGTTTTCCTGTGTAACAAAGTTTTGACCCTTAAAGTGTTGGTCTAAGAGCTAATGTTAGCCTGTCCATCAAAGCCATTTCTAGACCCTTTTAAACTTTTACCAACTCCTTTGTAATTTTATAGGCATTAGAGTTTTCCCATTTTTGCCATTTAGCACAATACACCAACCCTCGCATCAGTTCCCAGTGCCAGCCTTCTTTTTTCTTCTCTTACAGCAGTAAGAGATGCAGGATGTATTATGTGTATGTACTAGTCTTCAGATGGAAAGTTCCACCATATCCAGAGTTGGTTAACTGTGTGTGTGTGTGCACGTCTGAAGTCAGTGCACCTAGTGATTTTTCTTGAAGTAAAAGCAGCTAGCTGTTCTGAAAGAAAATCTTTTTTCTTTTATGAAAGATAAAGTTTAATACATTTTCAGAAATATGTCTAGAAAGCACTGATTCATTTTAGGTCCAGGACACCCCAGTGACCTAATGAGGTAAATTAAATTAATGGCACAAATCCAGAATTTTAAGGGGAAAGATACAAAGTTAGGTTTGGTGTAATAAGTTAAGCAAGTTTTCCCAGAGATCTTAAGCATATCACGTGCACACTAGGCATGTAATGTGAAGGCAGTGTCTGTGAGATATATAGCATCTGGCTCCAGGGCAAACTCACTTTCTCTTTTTTTCAAAATTCTACAGCAAGTTTTTTTTTGTTACTGTTTTTTAAGGAGACAGTGGCTGGATCTACTTGAGTTGGGAGATTTGTATCTTACTTATCTTTCTTTACCCTTGTCTGGCTTCAGGTCTTTCACATAGCCAGAAAATATTCAGCACATATTTGCATATGTGAGTGAATGAATGAATGAATGAGTGTATTATTAAATGCTCCCTGTTGGTTCAGGAATCATACCTCTGGCATAGTATATTATTATTATATATTAAAAATAATGTTTTATATTCCTTCTCAGAGTCTCGGCAAGGGCAGGGAGAAAGCCTTTTAACCATGGGCTCACAGATCACAATGCCAGAATTAAATTTATAAAAAAAAATATATTTTTTAATTTTATTTTTTATATAAAAACTTTTAATCTTTTTTTCCTAATGTTTATTTTTCATAGGTGCATCTTAAAAATAGATTTTATTCTGTATAAATATATAAAACATAAAAAGTAAAAAAAAAAAAAAAGCTATGCTCTTCCTTCTGTCCTTGGAGGTAATCATTATCAAGAATAAAATTTTAGTGGGCGCCTGGGTGGCTCAGTTGGTTGAGTGACTGCCTTCGGCTCAGGTCATGATCCTGGAGTCCCGGGATTGAGTCCCGCATGGGCTCCCTGCTCAGCAGAGAGTCTGCTTCTCCCTCTGACCCTCTTCCCTCTCGTGCTCTCTCTCATTCTCTCTCTCTCAAATAAATAAATAAAATCTTAAAAAAAATAAAAAAAGAATAAAATTTTAGTGAAAACACCTAACAAATGCTCTTTTGTGGTTTTGATTTTTATTTGAGTAATAGGTTTAATGCACTTATCTCACAGTTTGGAAGTTGGAAAGAATCTTAGATACATATTTAAAAAAATGTGTGCCCCCTGTTGCGCAAGGGTAGTTACACAATAAAACATGCCCTGTGGTGCATGGACATGATCTTCACTGGAGTGGAGAGGCAGTTGTGTAAAGCTCAAGGAGTTGCTGTAAAGAACCCTCTAAATTCATACTGCACCCAAAATGTGTCTCACATAAAGGAAAAAGAAAAACTCTTCCAGTATGTTGTTATATGCAAGGATGCAATACTTTCTTG